AACAATCAAGATTTCCAATCCCCTGGGCTTACTGATTTCTCTAGGGAAAAATATAGCATACCCTTTATTAGCTGCCTAAATCAAAGTAGCTTGAGTTTTGTAAAAAATGGTATTTCTGTCTCCTTGTTTACATGCTGGCATGAATACAGCTTATTCTCTCCTGGTGATTTAATCTACATTTCTTAGCTATGTCACAGAAATCAGAATTTATGTCTTCATGCATGTATGAATTCATGAAGTCGTCTATCACTTGTTAAAATAAAGTAGAACAAAGATAGTTACTGGGTAATATATGGTTTGTGTGAAATTTAAGTCTTCAAGGAGCTTACATTCCAAGGCAGAAAGCAAAATTCAGTAGGATTAACTCTTATAGTCATTACTAGAATTGTTTCTTAAGCACTTAAGAACATGGTTTTAGAAAAGAAGTGTGTAGACCTGGTTCCTGACCTTTATACACCTAATATCTAATATATGAAAATTATTGCATACACATAGTAACAGCCTTTAGAAAAACAGCACCAACCACAATTTAAGGGAAGAAAAATAAAGACAAAATACTAATTTCAAGTGGTTGAGATTTAGTTTTAAAGGAGAAAATAGACAATTGAGCATAGATTATTTATAATGCTCTGAACATTTTAAAGAAAGACATTTTTATTTTATTATTTTATTGGGCTTTAGAGATGGGGTCTTGCTCTGTCACACAGGATGTAGTGCAGTAGCATGATCATAGTTCACTGTAGCCTTGAATTCCTGGGCTCAAGTGATCCTCCATCCTCAGCTTCTCAAGGAGCTAATACTACAGGCATGCACCACCACACCCAGCTAATTAAAAAAAAATTTGGACACAAGGTTTTGCTGTGTTGCTCAGGCTGGTCTCGAATTCCTAGATGTAAGTGATCTTCCCACTTTAGCTTCCCAAGGAAAAACATTTATTGAACATTCAATGTGTGTACTACAGTTGTATAAGCAGTATTAGTAACTATAAAATAGATGTTGTCTTAAAGTAGCCTGATATTTATGCATTATAGAATATAACATGAAATATAAATAAATATTATCAGGACACAAAAATGGCAAACTGAAATAAATTACAGCTTGGCAGTGAATTGGTACAGGAGCTGTATAATACAAAGAGATAGGAGTTGAACAGGGTTCTGAGGAGAGAAAAACTGGAAGGAACTGTTAATAGATTGGTGGTGGTGGTGGTGATGGTGGTGGGGAGTGTTTATAGAACTGATCTGTAGAGTAGGCATGTACATTATGTAGAACTTTATTTCAACGTTTCTAAAAGCACAATATTGTTTTAACTATTTTGCACTCTATAGCTATTTTTATGATGTTAATTTTAGATGAACAGAGATAAAGTTATTTTATATTCCAAATGTATAAATGCTTAAATATTTGACTTAAATAAAATCTCACCAGGCAAACATTTCAAGATATTAAAATTACTTGCTTTGTCTTTTGATGTATGTATTTACTCATATATACTTTTATCTCCAGCTTTGTTCCAAAAAGGATTTAAGGCTTTCACAGATGAATACTAAATAAAATTAAAAATAACTAGTGAAGATGATGTAAACAGAAAACGCAGAGCAGGAAAGATTAGATGAATCCAGGAGTACACTCTGCTGTTCACAAAAGCATGACATAAGGGTCTGTAAGTCCTTTTCTAATGGGTCAAAAATTAAGACTTAAGTTTTCCAGTAGCCATTATAAAGAATCTGATATATTTGAGTGTATTATAATTAACAAACAGACCAGATAAATTTATCTCATGGGTTGTTGTAAAGAAAATACTTTATAGCATAATGAAATATATTCAGTAACATCTTCATGTTAAATATACCAACATGCTGACAAGTTGTCAATGTAGTCCTTAAATTCAGGGAAAACTCAACTTTGTCTGTGCTGGGATTTTGTTTTAAGAAGAATATCATTGAAGCCTTCTTTTAATTCCTAATATTAAAATCCAAAATAGTGATTTTTATGTAGTTCATCAACCAAAGAAATATTAAGGAGGTGGCTTTTTTTCCTTAGGATGTGAACATACTTGCTTGTCAGGATTACATCATTTGCGTAGGCAATGTGTAGGTGTGACTTGTTATATGCTGAACCTATTCAGGAATTTGGCCAAGGCTGTGATTCAGATAAGTGTAGGAGCAATTCCAAGAGACTTTGAGCTGCAGAGTCTTACTTAAGTTTTTCTTCAAAAGTTCCGTTGTTACAATGCAGTAAATGGGATTTTAGCCAATGTAAAGCCTTATAATATTAAATGTTTTTATTGCCTGTTTAATAGTGGGCAACCCTGCTAAAGTCAACTTAAAATTGTAGTTTAATAAAGCATGCATTATTATCATGAAAGGTGCATATAAAATTCTGTCCTAAGCACACCAAGTATAATGCTATTAATGATCATTAATGTATGGGTTGAAAGGTAAACTAAACTTACATTAATTATTTTAAAACACAAACACATGAAAATACCTTTGAAATTGTCTGATTGGTCACCCCTATATATCATGTGCCAATTAATATTTATACAAAACATACATTTTAACATTTGTTGATTATAAAAAAATAATACTTTTGCTTTTGTGATAGTAAAGACTTTAACTATAGAACGTAAAAATGAATTTTTGAAAATATTGAATGCTTATACTCTTAAATAAATGATCAAGTCTCGAGTGATAGTTTTATAAAACGTATGCTGACATCTTAAAATTTTCTGAAGTTGATTCTTTCTCTTTAATCGGCATTTAAAAATGTGTGAGTTTCCAGCTCACCACAGTTACGAATATTCTTATAGAAAAATATAAAAGTCCTAAAAGTAGATTGGAATAATTCATCCATTCTTCTGGACAATTTCCCATGATTGGATTAGAGTGACTGAAAAGAAGCCTCTTTTATCAATATAGGTATGGTTTTAGGTACAGTAGTTTGAAGCCATGCAACTACTTTTTAACTTTAATTATTTCTTTAAGCACCCTATCCCCAAATACTCTCATGTTCTGAGGTACTTGGAGGTAGGACTTTAATGTATTAACTTTGAGGGTACATAATTTAGCTCATAGCCTACTTGTATCTGTTTCTTTAAAGGATATGATGTTTCTGACAAAGTTCTCTATCCTCGTGTTCACAGTTTATTTCTGTATCCCTCAGTGTGCAGCACAATTTCTGATACAGAATATGTGCTTAATGAATGTTAATTTGTTGATTAAACAACTAATGAGTACATATATGGGAAGATAAAGTGATATAGCACAACTTTATTATATCAGGATAGGAAAATTTTTCAAGGATGATTTATCTTAGGAAAAAGAAATAGATTACTGAAAAGTACATTATCACCTTATTTCCAGTTACATTATTATTACTGTCAAGCTTTTGGAATGGTGCAGAACCTGAAGAAAGTGAGGTGGAAGGAGAAGGGAGAGTTTCAGATGACAAAAAAAGGACATTATGATAGTACAAATCAATAAATATAACCTTGGGAAGGTTGAAAAATTTTAGGTAATAGATAAGAATGGGGTGGAAAGAGAACTACTTTTATAGTTGATTTTGGGAATTGGGCAGTGAGATGTGATATTTTCTTATGCTGGGAAAGTCACTCATAAGACCTGGAAAAAATAGATCAGATGATAAACAAGCAGTTACTTCTCTAGACTGCAAATGATGGATTCTATTAGATGCCATTTTGGGATACTAGTAAATGTAGAAGAACTAGGGAAAAAAAATGGCCCCTTTATGTAGCAGTGTGTGCAGAAAGCCTACACTATTTCTTTCTTCCTTGATTGCCTCTTCTTACTCTTCATACTCCATTCTTTACAATTCCACTGAGGGTTATGTTTTATAAGAGTGGTTCTGAAATTGTGGTCTGCATACCCCTGAACAATCCTAAGACCTTTTTAGGGAGTTCTCAAGTCAAAGCTTTTTCACAGTCATCCTAAGGTATCATTTGTACAACTGCTGGCATATTGGCCCATCAAGGCAGTGACTTCAAATGGTACTAGTAATCATTGTATTCTTCATTGTCTTACATATACAGTGTAAGAATGTCCTTGATGAGACATTAACAATTATTACATTTATTAAATCTCAACCCTTGAATACCCTTCTTTTCAATAATCTGTGATAAAATGGGAAGTACACATCAAGCCCTTTAACTGCATAACAAAATAGAATGGTTGTCTCAAGGCAGAGGACTTGTGCAAATGTTTTGAGTTGTGAGCTGAACCACACTGTTTTCATGGATCACCACTTTTCCTTGAAAGAACGATAAACTATGGTTACATAAGTATGCTTATTTGGTAGGTGTTTTCTCAAAAATGAATGGAGTGAGCCCATTCATAGAAAAATAACTGATCCTTTTTTTTTTCAATGGTAGAATCTGAGCTTTCTGCCAAAAACATGAATTTTGGCAAATGTTTATTTGCCACATTGACTTCGTCATCTTCTTAATGAAGCTATATTTCTTTTTATTATGCTTCACTTCATTGCACTTCACAGATATTATGTGTTTATATATGTGTATATATGTATATGTGTATATGTATATGTATGTATATGTATGTATTATACACACACACATACATATATATATATACACACACACATACATATATAAATTGAAGCTTCGTGGTGACCTTGTGTTGAGTAGGTCTTTGGGTGCCATTGTTCTGCCAGCATATGCTCACCTTCTGTCTCTGTCTCATATTTTGGTAATTCTTACAGTGTTTCAAATGTTTTAATTACTATTATATCTGTTATGGGGATTTGTGATCTGTGATCTTTGATATTAGTATTGTCATTGTTTCAGGGTGCCACAAACCATACACACTTAAGACAGTGAGCTTCATTGATAAACAGTATGTGTGTGTTCTGGCTGTTTTACTGACCAGCTGTTTCTCCATCTTTCTCTATCTCCTGGGTCCCTCTCTTCCCTGACCTACAAGAATATTGAAATTGGGCTAAGTAATAACTCCACAGTGACCTCAGAATGTTCAAGGGAAGGGAAGTGTTCCAAATTTCTCACTTTAAACAAAAAGCTAGAAATTATTAAGCTTAGTGAGGAAGACATGTCAAAATCTGAGATAGGCTAAAAGCTGAGGTTCTTGTGCCAAACAGGTAGCCACGTTGTGAATGCAAAGAAACATTCTTGAAAGAAATTAAAACTGTTACTCCAGTGAACATACAAATAATAGTAAGGGTAAACAGGCTTATTGCTGATATGGAGAAAGTTTTAGTGGTCTAAATAGAACATCAAACCAGCCACAACACTCCCTCAAGCCAAAGCCTAATCTGGAGAAATTCCCTAGCTGTCTTTAATTCTGTGAAGGCTGAGAGATGTGAGGAAGCTACACAAGAAAAGTTTGAAGCTAGCAGGGGTTGCCTCATGACATTTAAGGAAAGAAGCCATTTTCATAATATCAAAGTGCAAGGTAATGCTGCTGGTGCTGATAGAAAAGCTGTAGCGGGTTAACCAGAAGATCTAGATAATTGATGAAGGTGGTTACACTAAACAACAAATTTTGACTGTAGAAGAAACAGCCTTCTATTGGAAGAAGATGCCACCTAGATTTTAAAGCTAGAGTGAAGTCAGTGCCTAGCTTCGAAGCTTCAAAGGACAGTCCGACTCTTTTGATAGAGGCTAGTGATCCTGGAACCTTAAAGTTGAAGCCATTGTTTATTTACCATTCCAAAAATTCTAGGGCCCTTAAAAATTATGTTAAATCTATTCCTATGCTCTAGAAACAGAATAACAAAGCCTGAATGACAGCACATCTGTTTATAGCATGGTGTACTGAATATTTTAAGCCTACTGTTGAGACCTACTGTTCACAAAATAAAGATATTTTTCAAAATATTACTTCTTATTGGCAATTCGCCCAGTTACCCAAGAGCTCTGACAGAGATGTACAGGGAGATTAATGTTGTTTTCATGCCTTCTATTACAACATCCATTCTGCAGCCCATGGCACAAGGAATAAATTTGATTTCAAGTCCTATTATTTAAGAAATGTATTCTCTAAGGCTATAGTTGCCATAGATGATGATTGCTCTGACGAATCTGGGCAAAGCAAATTAAAACCTCTGGAAAGGATTCACTATTGTGTAGATGTCATTAAGAACATTTGTGATTCATGGGAGAAGTCAAAATATCATTAACAGGAGTTTGGAAGAAGTTGATTCCAACCCTAAGGGATGACTTGGAGGGGTTCAAGACTTCATTGGAGGAAATCACTGCAGATGTGGTGGAAATAGCAAGACAACTAGAATTAGAAGTGGAACTAAAGATGTGACTGAAATTCTGCAGTCTCATGATAAAACTTGAATGGATGAGGAGTTGCTCCTTGTGGATGAGCAAAGAAAATGTTTTTTGAGATGAAATCTACTTTTGGTGAAGATGCCATCAACTTTGTTGAAATGACAATAAAGGCTTTAGAATATTACATAAACATTTAATAAAGCAGTGGTAGGATTTGAGAGGATTGAGTTCAATTTTGAAATAAATTCTATGTGTAAAATACTATCAAATAGCATCAAATTCTACAGAAAAATCTCTCATGAAAGGAAATCAATCTATGCAACAAACTTCATCATTGTCTTATATTAGGAAATTGCCACAGCCACCCTAACCTTCAGCAGCCACCACCCTGATCACTCAGCAGCCATCAACATTGAGGCAAGACTGTCCATCAGTAATAATGAAGACTCAGATGATCTTTAGCATTATTTAGCAATAAAGTATATTTAATTAAGGTATATAGGGCCATAATGTTTGTTTGCTCCCTATTAAGTTAACAGAAAGTGGGCTGGGTCTTAAAAGGAGGTATGTAGCTCAAATTTGTCTTTCATTATGTTATTTGTCTTTTACATCACCAAATTCTCAAAGTTCATGACCAGGTCATCTATTTTAAACCTTTTCCTTGTAGTATTTATATGTATTATGATTTATTAAATGAAGGGAAGTGAGAAAATAATAATGTAAATTATAGCATAATTTATAGGAGAAAGTAAAACTTTTTTCATTTTTTTTTTAAATTGACAAATAGTTATACATATTCATGGGGTACATAGTGGAGTTTCAATATGTAATATGTATGGTGATCAGATCAGGGCAATTTTGTATCCTTCAACAAATCTCTCATTCTCTCCCCCTTCCCTCTATGGGAAGGTATATGTTTATAAAATTAGAGAAAATGCAAGGATACAGGTATATGCTGGTGTGTATGTGTACAGCAAGAATAACTAGAAATGTGATTTTTCCTTTTTTTTAAATTTTCTACTAGGTTTTTCTTGTTAGAAAGAAGACCGGTCCTGATGCTGGGCAGCTCTATGCAATGAAGGTGTTAAAAAAAGCCTCTTTAAAAGGTAGAAAATTAGAAAGTTTATTAAAGTAGAATTTGGCAAAGCGTTATTTTAAGAAATATGCTGTATATTGCTAGTATAAGGTGAATAGATGTAGCTATTTTTAACATTAGTATTTGTGGCAGTTTTTCTAGCCAGTAGGTAATATTACTAGATTTGATATTGACATATGCCTTAACTTAGTGAGAGTGCAGTAAAAATTTGATCCTAGAAAAAGCAACATACTTCATTTAATTTAAACTTATTAACTTAATTAGGCTATACACTTTTCTTTCAAGATTCTTGGTTTTTCCTTTTCTGTGTCAATGTTGCATATTGAGAAAGTACAGCCATTTGCACACACTGTCTTTTAGGGTGTGATAAAAATACCCCTTATGACCAGATCAGTTTTAATCAGTAAACTCATTTGAACAATTAAAGAGATTAACAGGCCGGGTGTGTTGGCTCACACCTGTAATCCCAGCACTTTGAGAGGCTGAGGCAGGCTGAACCCTTGAGCCCAGCCCAGAAGTTCAAGATCAGCCTGAGTAACCTGGCAAAACCCTGTCTCTACAAAAAATACAAAAATGAGCTGGGCGTGGTGGCATGCATCTGTAGTTCCAGCTAGTTGGGAAGCTGAGATGGGAGGATTGCTTGAGCCTGGGAGGTGGAGGTTGCAGTGAGCTGAGATTGTGCCACTGCAGTCCAGCCTGGGCAAGGAGCAATACCCTGTCTAAAAAAAAAAATGAGTACATAATAAATGCATATTAGCTACATACCTATTTATGCTACCTTAACCTGTCTCTAGATGTAATGAAATCTTTTTGCTTTCTGAGAATATGGTCATTATTATCTAGGAATATGTAAACTGCAAATTTAGGCATTTACGAAGTTATATTTTATATTTTTATATTTTTTGTTTGGTAAATTATTGATGGAATCTTAACTGAAATGATACAAGAGTAATATATTGTAGCATTATGTAATTTTTAGTTCGAGACAGAGTTCGGACAAAGATGGAGAGGGATATACTGGTGGAAGTAAATCATCCATTTATTGTCAAATTGCACTATGGTATGTAATCTTAGTTTTGTTCTTTTAATCATTATTAATATGGAATTAGAGAATTATGATTTCCATTCAGATAATACTAAAACAGGAAGTAAATAATTTAGACTTACTTAGTATATTCAACTATGTAAAATGTATTTGTCTGAAATAAATATCAGTATCCAGTTTTTAATTGTATATCCTTCATTTTTCTAAGTTGGTTAACTTGTCTAAAATAACAAGATAGTGTTTTTTACTTACCTGTCTGGTAGTATTTATGTACTCTACTAGGATGTACCTTCAGTAATCTTAGACTATATACTATTGTGATAATTTACATAAAACATTCGGTTGCTTGTTCATAATGACCATATTTATCTATTTCCTACTTACATTCAAGAGGATCATGTAGTTATGTTAGTCTACTTGAGTTATTTTTTATATTTAATGGGAGAGGACTACCAGTAAGAAGCAGTAGATGTAGTGGAAAGAACATCAGCTTTGGAGTTAGACATTTCTGAATGTGAATCATGACTACATTACTAATTTAACATATAGATGAGATCTGTCTATCTGTCTATCTATCTATCTCTGACATAGTGTACTTTGTCACTTTTAATTTTCTATATTAAAAAAGTAGCAGCTATTTTATTCTTAGTATAACTTTCACAAATAATACATTAAAATATATACCCAATTATTGCTATTAAAAACCAATAAGAAATTTTCACCCATCATTCTTTTACTTCTTATAATACTAACAGAATAAAAAAGTAACATCTAAAGACCTTCCCCAATCTGTAGTATGTCAATCAGTAAACACTTATTGTGTGTAAAATTACTGTATTAAATTCAGTGGGCTATAGATGTGAAACACTTTTTGACCTCAAGAAATTTACAACCTGTAGAGAACACAGAGATGTAAACAAATTAATTGTACAAATTAAAATGGAATAAGTACCATTAAAGAGGTGTAAATATAATGAGATCTCAAAAGTAGCAGCAAGTTATTTCACTGGATAAGAGATCAAGGAAGCTGTGGAAAAATGTGAAAAGGGAGAAATCCTGGAAAGTTTAATAGAGGAAGTGGCATTTTTGGTTAGCTGTTTTATAGGATTCGTGGACTTTCAGTAGGTTTTATAGGCTAAATTTAGGCAATTGCAGTAGAATATGCTTCATAAATTAGGAAATTGGTGGTGGTAGAAGTTTTGTGCAAGCCACATTCAAGGTTATTATGTTCTGGGAAGGGGTTCATAGCTATTTCAACACTGGATTAAATACTGGGTTTAATTTTGAGACGTTATCCATTTGTGGACCATGTGAGTAAATACTGTAAAATCTTAAACATATATTAATTAAAAAGCATAGTAAGCTTTTTAAGCCTTAGAGATTGTTCTGTTACTACATTCTAATTTTTAATTAGCCTTTCAGACTGAAGGGAAACTGTACTTAATACTGGATTTTCTCAGGGGAGGAGATGTTTTCACAAGATTATCCAAAGAGGTAAGTGTCTGTACATCTTTATGCTCTTGAAACAAAACTAAGAAAAATCCCTTTTATTCTTTCACTAATTACGTTTTTCCTATTGAAATTTTAAATGGTAATTACTCTGTTTATTTCATTGCATAGTATTTGGTAATGTGCCTGTTAATGGCATTTTCTATCATCTCAATGTGCTACTTGTCATTTTCTTAGTCAAAAGAACAATATGAATAACTGAATAAAGTAGATATGGACAAGCCTAGGACTTTGGCTACTCAAGCTACCTAAACACCTCTGGGAGTAGTGTTTATTCATTTTAAAATAGTTTTATGGAGGTATAATTGACATACAATAAACTGTACATATTAAAGTATACAATTTTATAAGTTTTTACATTTATATGTAACTGTGAAACCATCATTACAATAAGAATAATTAGCATATATGTCATCCCCCAAAATTTTCTTGTGTCCCTTTGTGATACCATCCTCCTGCCTTAACCCTACTGAATCTGCTTTCTGTCACTAGTTTATATTTTCTAGTTTATATAAATGGAATCATATTGTATATCCATTTTTTTGTCTGGCTTACTTAACATAATTATTTTAAGATTCATCTATGTTGTTTGTACTAATCGTTTATTCATTTTTATTGATGGCGTAGTATTACTGATTGTATGGATACATCATGATTTGTTTATCATTCACCTATTGATGGATTTTTGGGTCATTGCAGTTTTTGATATTGCTAATAAAACTGCTATAAACATTCATATAGAAATGATTGTATCATACGTTTTCATTTCTCATGGGTAAATACCTAAGAGTACAATGACCGGGTTATGTAGTAGGTGTATGTTTAACCTTTAAAGACACTGCCAAACTGTTTTCCAAAGTGATTATATATTTTTTACATTCCCACCAGCAGTGTAAGAGAGTTTCAGTTACTCCACATCCTTGCCAACATTTGTGGTAATACTTTGCAATATTTGGTATAGTCAGTCTTAAAATTTTTTAAGATTAGTTTTTAGTAGTATCCCATTGTGGTTTTGAATTGTATAACACTAATGACTAATGATGTTGAGCATCTTTTCTTGAGCTCATTTGCTATATATCCTCTTGGTAAAATGTCTGTTTACATTTTAGTCTTTTTTTTAAATTGGATTGTGTGTTTTCTTATTAAGTTTTTAAGAGTTATTCATGTATTTTGGATGTAAGTCCTTGATCATATATGTTATTTTAAAATGTTTTCTTCTGGTCTGTGGTTTGTCTTTTTATTCTCTTGACAGTGTTTATTGAAAAGCAGAAGTTCTTAATTTTGATGAAGTCTGATTTATAGGATTTTTTTCCCTTTTATTAATTGTGTTTTTAGTGTCCTATGTAAGGAATATCTGCCTAATCCCAGGTAAAGATTTTCTCTTTTATTTTCTAGAGGTTTTGTAGTTTGAATTTTACATCTAGATTTAGGATCAGTTTTGAGTTCACTTTAGTATATGGTTACAGGTATGTGCAGAAGTCCTTTTTTTTTTTGCACATAGATATCCAGTTGTTCTAGCATCATTATTGGAAAAGTCTATCTTTTCTTCACTGAATTACCTAAAATTTTTCTTGAAAACCAATTGATCATATATATGAAGGCTTATTTCTGTATACTCTGTTCTGTTCATTGATCCATTTGTCTATCTTTATGACAATACCACACTGTCTGAATTACTGTACTTTGATAATATGTCTTGAAGTCAGGTAATGCAAATCCTTGCACTTTGCTTTTCTTTTTCAGAGTGTGGCTCTTCTAGGTCCTTTCCATTTCCATATCAGTTTTAAATTCAGCTTTGCACTTTGTACAAAAATGCCCTGCTGGGATATTGGTTGGGACTTCATTGAATATATAAGTCACTTTGCAGATAAGTTACATTTTAGTAATATTGAGTCTTTCAATTCATGAACATGGTATCTTTCTCAATTTATTTAGGTCATCTTTAATTTCTCTCAGTATTATCTTGTTTTCAGTGTAAGTCTTTCACTTCTTTTGTCAGATTTACCTCTAAGTAAATCCTGTTTTTAATGTTATTGTAAATAGAATTGACTTCCTAATTTCAATTTTAAATTGGATAGAAACGAAACTGATTTTTTGTGTATTGAGCTTGTTTCCCACAGTCTAGCCAAACTTAACACTTTTAGCAGCTTTTAAAAATCGATGGCAAAGGTTGAGAAAATTCTCTTCTGTGCTACTTTTTTTAAATTGTACTTTAAGTTCTCAGGTACACGTGCAGATCTTGCAGGATTGTTGCATAGGTACACACATGCCATGGTGGTTTGCTGTCTCCATCCCGCCGTCACCTACATCAGGCATTCTCCCAGTGTTATCCCTCCCCATCCTACCAATCCCCTGCTGTCCCTTCCCTAGCCCTCCATGCCCCACATACCCCAGTGTGTGATGTTCCCCTCCTTGTGCCCATGTGTTCTCATCGTTCAATAACTGCCTATGAGTGAGAACATGCGGTATTTGGTTTTCTGTTCTTGTGTCTGTTTGCTGAGAAAAATGGTTTCCAGATTCATCCATGTCCCTGCAAAGGATGTGAACTCATCCTTTTTATGGCTGCATAGTATTCCATGGTATATATGTGCCACTTTTTTTTGTCCAGTCTATCATCGATGGGCATTTGGATTAGTTCCAGATATTTGCTATTGTAAACAGTGCCACAGTGAACATACGTGTGTATGTCTCTTTATAATAGAAGAATTTATAGTCCTTTGGGTATATACCCAGTAATGGGATTGCTGGATCAAATGGAATTTCTATTTCTAGATCCTTGAGGAATTGCCACACTGTCTTCCACAATGGTTGAACTAATTTACACTCCCATCAACAGTGTAAAAGTGTTCCTATTTTTCCAATCCTCTCCAGCATCTGTTGTCTCCAGATTTTTTAATGACTGCCATTCTAACTGGCATGAGATGGTATCTCAATGTGATTTTGATTTGCATTTCTCTAATGACCAGTGATGATGAGCATTTTTTCATGTTTGTTGGCCTCATATGTATCTTCTTTTGAAAAGTGTCTGTTCATATCTTTTGCCCACTTTTGAATGGGTTTATTGCTTTTTTTTCTTGTAAATCTGCTTTAGTTCCTTGTAGATTCTGGATATTAGCCCTTTGTCAGATGGGTAGATTGCAAACATTTTGTCCAATTCTGCTGATTACTGGTTCACTCTAATGGTTGTTTCTTTTGCTGTGCAGAAACTCTTAAGTTTAATTAAATCTTATTTATCTATTTTGCCTTTTGTTGCCATTGCTTTTGGTGTTTTGGTCATGAAGTCCTTGCCTATGCCTATGTCCTGAATGGTATTGCCTAGGTTTTCTTCTTCTAGGGTTTTTATGGTGTTAGGTCTTATGTTTAAATCTTTAATTCATCTGGAGTTAATTTTAGTGAAAGGTGTAAGGAAGGGGTCCAGTTTCAGCTTTCTGCACATGGCTAGACAGTTTTCCCAATGTCATTTATTAAACAGGGAATCCTTTCGCCATTGCTTGTTTTTGTCAGGTTTGTCAAAGATCAGATGGTTGTAGGTGTGTGGCATTGCTTCCAAGGCCTCTGTTCTCTTCCATTGATCTATATCTCTGTTTTGATATCAATACTGTGCTGTTTTGATTGCTGTAGCCTTGTGGTATAGTTTGAAGTCAGGTAGATGCCTCCAACTTTGTTCTTTTTGCTTAGGATTGTCTTGGCTGTGTGGGCTCTCTTTTGGTTCCATATGAAGTTTAAAGGGTTTTTTTCCAGTTCTATGAAGAAGATCAATGGTAGCTTGATGGATATAGCATTGAATCTATAAATTACTTTGGGCAGTATGGCCATTTTCGTGATAGTGATTCTTCCTAACCGTGAGTATGGAATGTTTTTCCATCAGTTTGTGTCCTCTCTTAAGAGTTTTATAAAAAATCAGGAATCAATTTTAGATTTATTCAAATGCTTTTTCTTCATTTATTGAGATGATCATTTTTTTTTAGTCTTACTATAGTGAATTACATCGAGAGTCAAATGTTGAACCAACCTTCTATTTACGGATGAACCCCACTTAGTCTTGATGTATTAACCTTTTTATAAATTGTTGGATGATATTTGCTGAAAGTTTGTTAACAATTTTGCATCTATTTTTATGAGGAGTATTTGTGATTTTCTTGTATTATTTTGTCTGTTTTTGGTATTAGAGTAATTCTGACTTCATAGAATGAGTTGGGTGTAATTTTTGCCTCTTTAACTTTCTGGGAAAGTTTAGGTAGATTCAATGATAAATTGCCCTTAAATGATTGATGTAATTCACCAGTGAAGGCATCTGAACGTGAAGTTTTTCTTATAGTAAAGTGTTTAACTACAAAATCAATTTATATAATAGACTTATGTTATTTATTTTTGTGTGAATTTTGCTAACTTGTGTCTTTTAAGGAATTTGTTTATTCCATCAAAGTTATCAAATTTACTGACATAAAGTTGTTCATAATATTTCGTTATTGTCCTTTTTGTAGTTGTAGAATTGTTAGTGATGTCACTGCTCTCATATTTGATGTTGATAATTCATGTTTTCTCTCCTTTTGTTCTGCCTAGCCTCACTAGAGATTTATCAATTTCATTACTCTCAAAGAAATAGCTTTTGGTTTCATTGATTTTTCTTTATTCTACTTCTATTTTCTTTTACATTGTTTTATGCTTCAATCTTTTTTCTTACTTGTGTTTTATTAGCTTTTCTTTTTCTGGTTTTTAAGATGGGAGCTGAATTTGTTGATTGGAGGCCTTTCTTCTTTTTTTAATAATGTAGGTGTTTAGTATTATAAATTCCCCTCTGAATACTGCTTTAGAATCATCCCACAAGTTTTGATATGTGTCATTTTAAATTTCTCTCAGTTCAGTGTACTTTGTAATTTCCTTTTTATTTATTTGATCCATTGGGTATTTAGAAGTATGCTTAATTTACAAATATTTGGGTATTCTTTCACATATCTTTCTATTGATTTCTAATCTAATGTCAT